AACACTCTCGGGTCTTCCGTCGCTAGGATTAAACACTCTCAGGTCGTCCATCGCTGGGATTCAACACTTTCGGGTCTTCCGTCGCTGGGATTCAGCACTTTCGGGTCCTCCAGCGCTGGGACTCAACACTCTCGTGTCTATATAAACACCTTTTGGGTCATGGTTCTACGGCGGAAGGCAGCGAAGAAGAGGGTGATGAGGCTGAGCCGGCTGATGATGCTATCGTGGAGGAGGGCTGAAGCTTCGAGCGCGTCACGACTGACAACACGGCGGCCTGAAAAAACTTGTGTATCACTTGCTGTAGACCTGTTGCCATCTAAACCCAACATACACAAAGACTTCTCTCCGAGTCCGCAGGCTTTACTTGCTGAGAGAGCGAGAGGGACAGGGACAGAGACTGTGAGTGACTGACAAAGCATTGATTATTATTTTGACTAGCGAGCGAGGGAGTTAGTTGAAATACAAACAGTTGGAGCGATTCTTTCAGAATTCTCAAACATTGCATCGGATCAAGTCATTGAGATTTCTACACGACGAAGAATTTCATACAGTATATTCACGTTGAGAACAGAAGAATTGAAACATGAGTGGACTCCGACTTCTCGTGGTGATCGTGGACGTGAAAGACGTGCATGCATTCATGCATGCATGCTGTCTGCTTTTAGGTGCCCATATACGTGTGCATGTAAATGTCTGTACGTGTGTGATCATGTACGTATGCAAGCACGCATGCATGTACGTACTGTCATGGTCATGGTCATTACTGCAGACTCGCTGCACGCATTTATCTATGTAATTTTGTAGCCTAAACCCTAAACCCATAAGCCTAAACCCTAAATCCTAAACTCAATAGTAAGCCTAAACCTTCAACCCTAAACCCAATAGTAGCCTAAACACTATACTGCCCCTAGAGTAGCTTCAACCGTATAGTACCCCTATAGTAGCCTCAACCTTAAACCCTATAGTACCCTTATAGTAGCCTAAACCCTCAACCCTACAGTAGCCTAAACCCTATAGTACCCCTATAATCGCCTAAACCCGTGGCCTAAACCCTAAACCCTATAGTGGCCTTGCACTAGCCTAAGCCCTAAACTCTTTAGTACCCTGAAAGTAGCCTAAACCCTAAACCCTGTAGTACCCTTACAGTGCCCTAAACCCTAAAACCCATAGTGGGTTTGTAAGGGGCTTTGGGAACGCCGAGTACTTGACCCTGATTGCCTAAGCTCAGGGTTAAAGGATACTTTTGAAGTAAGTTGTGCGTTGCACCCACCACGCACACCGACACTGCAACCCAAGACACCGCACCCCATAACCCCCCAACACACCACTAGACTCTTCAGAGTACTTGAGCCACTTACAGTTACAGCTCAGCGGACCCTGAAGGCTCATGACCCAGTGATGCTTTTGTGAAGTTGAAGGCGCAAACCCCTGACCACCGAAACGGCTGGATCTAGCCAATGGAGTTTGGAACACCAGTCACCAGTTCATTTTGGACACCCGATTGCCGGGAAATTTCTTTTAGCCTGCCAGTCAAATGCGGCGAGGTGAGCCCACCCGCTGGAGCCACAAGAAGGCCGAGGCGGAGAGGTTGCCGGGTTGAGGTTTGAAACATGTGAGCGCATCATGGACGCTGCCCCTCCCCAACACCCCAGACATCATGAACATCATCGAGAGTCCGTTTCTCCATGAAGGCGTGTTATAGTGCACCCTTCAAAACAAGCCCGCCAGAGTGGAAAAAGGAGGCAGGCGGACAGCGGACACGCCCCAAATTCCCTCCCCCAGCAAGGGGATTAGCTGCCGAAACCGGACCGAAATCTGGCCAATTCAGGGGGCCCCTCCCACACCAACTATGCCTTCTGGCAGAACAAGTTCTGACTATTGAAACGAAAGCCTCTCTGGGGGGAGAGCTTTCGTGATCAGCCGACAAGGTGCTTCCAACTGTTCTCCATCGAAAACAGTTTGTTGCAGACGAGCCCTTGAGATTTCCGCCCGAAGGAGGCAAAAGCTGGCCGTAACTTAGCAAGTCTGTAAAGTGCATGGTGCAGGCTACAGAGGTTCAACCCCGGACAGGCTTAACTACCCTTGCTCACCACGACTCTACCGGTGTCACTGAAATGAAAAACCGCGAATCCTACACCGGCGGTGATCCAGGGCGGCGCCTGCACTCGGAGGTGCCTCCTCAGCAGTTGCTGCTGAACGGCGATAGGCTTCACCTGAGTCCAGCTCCCCACTGTTACTCCGATAGCTTTGACAAAGGCTCGGCATGCTGGCGAAGGAAAGGCAAGCAAAGGCCCGGGCTTAGTTGGCTGAAAGTAAAGCCTGGAGAAGTGCCCAGCACCTGGGTAGCGACCGCTTGTGACAGTTCTGCACTTCATGATTTCATGCTTTCCGAAGCCGTATCAGAACGACATCTTGCACAGGCTGTATAACTGCATCCTGAGGAGAACTTCCTGGCAAAAGCTCGAGGCATCAGGCTATGTGCGAGCTTTGACACGGCGTGCGGATCCGCAGACATTTCGCCTCAGGAACCAGAGGCGAAAGTGCGTAGCAGTCAGACGCAGCAGCGGCATCTGCACGTGGCGCAGGACGGGGTGGCCCTTCCGCTCTGCTCTTGAGTTTAGAAACTGTCTCAAGCCCCTTGTAACCGTCTGTCGAGACTACACTTTGACATTTCCAATCGCGACTCGCATCGCTCACTTGCCTCCGGTGACGAACACGGCGTGCCGCTGCTGCCGATGAACTGGTCCAGTTCCTGATTCAAGCTTGCATCACCGCGGTCACAAATGAACGCGGAAGCTGGCTTTCGAGAGTCTTGCACAAGAATGCCCCCTGAAGGATGATTGGCAGAGCTAGAACATAAGACAAAGTAGGGAACAGACAGCACAGCCGTCGCTAGCTTATTTCATACCTTCGAAGTCCAACAGCTCTCACATTGAAGGCTCCCGAAGGCCAAGCTGCAGGGACTGCCGCGTGCGGACAAAACACACGATGCCTCCAGGGAAATCAAACTGCCATGCCACGCACATCTACCAGGTTTCGGACTCGTGCTCAAGTCTGAAGATTCGGGTCTTATATGGTCCTATGCGCTGGCGCTTGAATTTCCAGCGAAGCACGACTTGCAGGTCAGTAGATAGACACCCCCGAAAGCAGCCGGCATGAGTGCGGGCTGTAGTTCCTGAATCTGTCAATATGAACACAGGCGCATCCTGGCACGGGGGAATATCCTCTTCAGTGGAGTCGTGGGTTCTCAATGCACAGGCAGTGGCAGAAGGCGCCGCCAAGCCGAAGTTTGCCCAAGCACACCGCACGCCCAAGCATGCCGTAGCCACAGTCTGGCTAAAGATATGCCCGATAGCTGTACCACGTGCTCCCGGAACAACATCAACAGAACGTCTGCTGGGCTCAGCCGAGGCACAGGATCCGTGAAGATGCTAGCATTGCACGTTCACAGCAGTAGGCCCAGCAGTGGCAGTAGCAGTAGAAGCACGCAAAGGCCCACCTCGGCTCAGACATCGAATCTTTGCATTGTGATGCAGATGATTCTGCATGCTACAGCTGCCACAGCTGAGGCTCGCAACTCGATGACCCTGGACCTCAACTCCCGTGACACCAAAGGAAACAGGTCCGTAATTTCTTCACGTCTGCACTCGAAGCTGACGGCAACTGAGCTTGAGGCCCACCATTGAGAAAGCAGAGAGCGAGACCTGCGCGCAGGCGAAGCTTCACCTATGCAACAATTTTGTGGCGACGGCTTTCCGTTGAGCCCCGAACACGAAAACTGGAGCGGATTCCATGTTGGCCATCATGATGAATGCTTTGGTTGGTCCTTGCATCGGTTGAGAGCGGCGACAGCTTTCTTGCACGACGACCGTGAATGCCAAGGGATTCCATGTCCTCAAAAGGAAGTGGTCACCGGGGACGCAAGTGCTCCCACAGACTGAGCTTTGAGCCAGCGAAGTCAGACCCGGACAAGCTTACCTTCTTCCACTGTAAGATCTTCGAGAGTGTGGCACACACCAAAGGCGTTTTCGGCTGAGTAGAGCCGTGTCGCGCAAACGGCCGCCCTTGCGGCAGAAGCTTCAAAGGAGTCAGAGGTGTTCGCTACGGGGAACTCACTGGCATACCTGGCAGCTTGCAAGGGTCATGAGAGCACCGAGCACTGATCATCCTTTTGGACGTCAGAACATGTGCGAACCCCTGGCATCTCTACTCCACCTAGGAGGAGGCCAGGGGCTCCTTTACACTCCAACCTACTCTCTTGTTAGGAAGAGACAGCAGAAGGAAGTTCCTTCGAGCGAAATGATTTCGCTCACGACCGCCCGTGGAGGTCGACACCACACCTGAGCAGAGCGGCAATCGATCTAGGCCGGGTATTCTACCAGTAGGATGAATTTTCGTGGCCCCGGGCAGGGCATCAACACCAGAGCTTTTTTAGCTTGAGGGGCTTCCTGAGTGCCCTGCATCACCTTGGCAAGAGCTGCCTCGGAATAAGATTGGCCTTGGAAGTTGCATCTGTTAAGTCACACACACACACACATTTAAACGACACTGCTTCTCCATTGCCTGCGCGGCAGCACTGCAGCACGCTCGGGCCATTGCAATGGCACTCCCCACTGCCTTGGCAGCCCTTGTGACCGGACACCTGCGAACGCTCAAGACCCAACCCAAGCCAGACACCGGAAACGTGCTGCCCCTACCAGAGCAGAGTAGCAGCAGAGCCTGACATGTACAGCAGGACTGGCCTGGATTCCCGCGGCCTCTCTTCACCAAGGCTCGGCCTCACAGTTTTGTCGTTTTGCATGAAGGCGCAGCACCCACCCCTGATGGTCACAGACTATGCTTCATGCCTCGTACGTCGGATGGCACTGTAGGGTCCAGCCTCCGACGGCGATGGCCCACTGACTTGCTCTGCACTGCAATACGCATCTGCTTGCCAATCTTTGCTTCTCGTTCAGAAGATGTGCCCACGTTTCACTTTTGTGCAAAGCCACAGAAACAAGCTCAAGTTGAAGCTTGGAGCCCGGCAAAGTTATCGTAGTCCTGAGCTACCCCGAGCCTTTCTGTTAACATGCTCGTGATGACTCTCTTGCTAGAGTACAAGAAACCCTAAGTCTTGATGACATGATAGGTCTATAAGCAGTTTGAACCCCTCGTGCACGAGTCCTTGGGATCGTAAGGTGGGTCAAGAAGACGGCCCACCTGGGAAGTCGAATTCATGCACAGTCAGGGGCCGGCCTGGCTCGATTCTGCCGCTTCTCCTCGACAATCTCGAATTTGGAGAAACTCATAAGCTTGGGGCCACAGGATACTTGGCCACGTAGGTCTCCCAGTACGTCCTTTGGTAGCCGCAGTGTAGAGAAGCAATGCAGGCTGAGAGCTTGTGGACCAACTACTTGAGGGCGCACGCGAAACATCCCCTAGTAGTATTTTGGGATCCCCTCCCCCGTCGGCATTATTACTATTTTGAGAACGGGGACAAAAAGTAATGATAACAATGATAATAATGTCCGGCGGGGGGGGGGGAGGACAAAAACAATAATAAAGGCCAGCCATGATTTCTTCGCGTGCTTCCTGAACTACTTGGCGCGCACGCACACACACACACACACACACAGACGCGATGTGCAACTCGCAAGGCAGCCGGACTTCGCCTGTTGCTGTGCCGACACGCTTTCCTATCGCAGCCAGACTAAGTCCAGGCTCCGGTTCAGATGCCGAAGCTGCTTGTCACTGAGATCCTCCAGACCTAGCCATTCTGCACAACTCAGCGTCAGAGCGGGCGGGTCCGAGTCCGCCGAGGCTGGGGCCCTGGTCCAACATGTCCACCTTAAGCAGAGTCTGGCTCGCAACGAATGCGCAGCGGCTGCGAACGGAACGTTTCAGTTACAACTTTGAATTGCCCGGCCCAGCTCTACACGCACCACTTTTCGATCGACATGCTCTGCATGAGACCACCGATTTGTTTTGGTTGAGATTAGATGGCTTCCTGCATTGATCTCCATCTTCAAAGTGTAACATGCCTCAAGCTCGCTCCGAATAGGGTATTGTAACCATATTTCAGGATCAACAACTTGTCTAGAGGCATTGCTACCCTAGGCCATGACCCTGTGTGGCAAACATGGTCTTTATAGGCAGAGCGGAAGGTTGTACCGCGCCCTGGGCTGGTGATCTTCTGTCTGTAGCCATGTCTGGGAAAGCCAGTGTGAGTTCGCGTGCTTCCCAAAGCCTCAGATTGCAAAGAGAAAGACCAAATCTTTGATCGATCTACAGCGATGTGTGCGCTGTCATACTGTGGACGGTGCTGTCGGCAAAAGCCAAAGACTTAAAACGAGTTGAGTAAACAGTAAGCTAGGACATCAGGTATCGTGCGTCTGCAACGACTGCCTCATCCAGCACAACAGGTTTGAGGCATCCCGGGCGTTTGTGGATAAGTCGGGGTCAATGCTCGTTGGCCAAACGGATTGTCCGGGCTGCATGTTTCCGAGGCACATGCCTGGCGTCTCGTCAACGCGAAGGCTCGAGTGCAGTCGTGTCCTGCAGAGAACTTGATCCTAAACGATGTCAGCCAGCAGGTCTTTGTCGGCAGGACTTCGATTTCGGTCGGACTGCACCATGGCATACACTTGAGGGTGCATGAAAACCCCCACCCGTTTGCTTGACCCTTAACATGGTAATCGTAGATATCGTTTTACTTTACTCTTATTGTTTTACAGGACTTTGAGACTGTACGATCTGAGCTAACAGCTCATGTTGCGAACATTCGTTATCGTTCTGTTCTACTCTTGTCGTTGTACAAGGAATTCGATTGCTCTCGAAATACGGGCGCAGCTACTTAATGAAATGCTCTCGGGGGCGGTTTATCATCCCTCACTTGTGTTTGACAGCTTCCGTCTCCCAACGGAAAGCAGGTCCTGCAAAGAGCCGATATCCCTGACCTTCACCGTAGAACTCCTGATGGGAAGCAACCACGTGTCCGTCGACTTTTTCAACAGCTGATGTAGCGCATTTCCCGTGTCATGATGCGTGCACCATGCCTTCCCACTGGAGACGTCGAAGACGCGCCCCCACACTGCCAGCCTCGGAATCTGCTTGTTAATTGCGTAACACTGGTGACACAGGACGAAGCTGACTCCAACCTTGCGACAGCCGAGCCGGAGGCAGGAGTTCATCGTCCTCTCTCAAACACACTGTTGCGGGTCGACACGACACAACCGGCTGCTCGAGTTGCTCACTGCCCCCTGAGAGAATTCTAGAATTTCGCCCGTCGTCCTTAATGTGATGCTGGAGCTCTGACAGGGTAAAGCTTGCCTCGGCCGTAAGGGCGTTAGATTACGCACAAATATGCATTCATGCTCTGGGTGATCTCGTAAGTGCCACCAATTTTCGATGAAGCTGCCAGGTGTGTCGTTGCACAAAGCACCCGCTCACAGTACCCCCTAACTTTCTCAGCAGTGCACAGAAAAAACGTGCTTGTGTTCTGTCCAACATTGTGCTGGCAACTCCGTACCTTAGTTGTCATCAACACTCCCCTGCTTCATCCCTAATGACAAGGACTCAGACTTAGACTAACTTCGACTCTACTCCGGAATCTCAGGAAGGTGAGACAAGCATGACAGCGCCATGGCCCGGCCTGACAGGGAGGCACTGAGCGAAAGAGCACAGGCAGACTTCTGGCCTTACTGAACCCCATTGAAACCCGCCTTTTCTGAACACGCGCGACCGATCACGACCGCATGGCCTGGCAGCGCGCAGGCCAAGAATTAGCATCGCAATGAAAAAAGAGCGGGGCAGCGCACGCAGAGGCATGTCTTTGCCGCATCTTTGCATAGGTCGACTTCCCATAAGTGCAAGGAAGTGGCAGCCCGACCATTCTTTCTCTCATGGCAGTATCTACTCTCCGGTTGAAGCTCTTGTTGGCGTTGCTCTGCGCTTTCTGTACCATGGGGCGACTCGGACACCAGGGCAAGCCACACCAGCAGGATCACCAAAATACAACCAAACAGACTACACGTTGAGGAAGGAAGGTGGATGTCCCTTGCCCTGTCAGGAGGATGATGAAGCCATTCTTAGCCTCTCCTAGCTAATTCGGCTGTCAGCTTCAGTCAGCTGTGCTTCAGCAGCTTCGCTGGGTAGCCAATCCAACTCATCACATCTACAAACATCTATGCTATACATACATCTTTCCATTCTTCAAGACGGGGCTGACGTGACAAGAACACTGGTTACGTTTGTGGTGACCGAGCGACCTTAGCATGGTCTGTGTTAACTCTTCTGCCCTCGCGTGCAAGTGGCAGCTGTGAAACCAAAGGCACTCGAATTCTCTTTTTGCGTGGCAGGAGCAAAGAACAAGGGACTTTCTGAGGCTTCAACCAAACTCTCGTAGTTGTCGAATGCCGGAAACATGCAATCGACCCATACTTCAAAAACACGTTCGCCTTTGTTCTTGCATGTACATTCCCACTAGAAGCGTGCCCGGATTGGGCTACGATGTCTCATTGTTGCCTTGGAGTACTAAAACCACGGCATCAACTGCTGAACTCCATTACGTACACAGGAAGCAAGCCTGATCCGCAACACTCTTGCTTTGACGAGGCAGGCACAATATGAACGACTGCGGCACAGACACAGATGCAAGTGTGAACACAAGCTGCAGCAGCTGCATAGTGCCACCAAGTGTGCTAAGTTTTTCAATGAGCGCGAACTGCTCCCTCTCCACACGCTCCAGGGAATTGAGCTGAAAGACGAGCCTCAGCCGGGTTGTACGGCATTCTGCACCCTGGGGGGTCGTGTCTCTAGCTGGCACAAACTGTTTCGCTTTTCGTTCTGGAGGCCTGCCACTAGCTGCAAGTGAAAGTCATGCGACAAGGCCCAGACTCCTGGAAAGCTAAACCGGGTCCCAGCCCTTTGGAGTCCTTGCCGAGCGTCCTCTCGAGCTCGGCTGTTTTCTCCTGGATCGCTGCCTGGCGCGAAAATGCGAGCGGATGTCCTAAACCCAAGGCACTCAAAAGGCAGAGCAAAGTAGAAGGCAAGCCGAAGGCATCCGAAGGCACCTGCATGCTCAGCTGCTTCCGCCTCCGCGCCTCAGCCTCCATCTCGGCACCTTGGGGCGTGCGAATGCATCAGCCGTCTAACAGCAACTCAACAACAATACCCAGAATATCCCAGGGTCATACCTCCATGTCGTTCTGAGGTTTTCCTGTGTGTTCTCAACATGAAGGACCCCGAACTGCTAAAGGTAGCTCTGCTTCCACGGGGGCCGATGTTTTGGCTTCGGATCAGCATGGGACTATTAAGGCCCGTGAACACATCGGACACACGACTGCTTCACTCAGCAAGGAGTGTGTTTTCTCAGTTGTGCAAGCCTGCAACTGGGCACTGGTGGCTCTATCAGCTTTCATCATGCCGATGCTGCGGAGCCCACCTCGATTACCCAGATCTGACCTCAGACGAACTCGTGGTAGCGGCACTTGCTGAGGATTCGTGCTCAACGCCGTCCGTTTGGAAGCTTCTGAGAACTCTCGCGGATAGCTTGATTTGTTGTTGCTAAGCGCCGCCTCATCCTCGGAGATGCTGAAGCTCCGCAAAATACGAGACCATGAATGCCAACATTGTCAGAATGAAGACACCAGGAAACAGGAAACGGTCGCCAGGCCTATCAACGTCAAAGATGGCAGCCGTAAGCGTCGGGTCAAGCTGAGAAGCTGCGCACGACGTCGGTTATGACCGGTGCAATAGCTTCAACATACAGCCCGGCAACGAGCCACAGCAGCAGTAAGAAGGCCATAAAAGTATCCGGTGCTAAGGGCCACTGCTGACAAAGCTGGCGGAAAATTGCGAGCAAAGGCCACTGGAAGAGATAGACTTCGAAACTGTACTTCCCCAGAGAGACGAGTGCTTTGTGGCTCAGAAAGTAAGCACCAAGACCGCCTTTCCTAGAGCCGTACATGAACAAAGCTATCGGCAAGGCGAGCGCGTGTGTGAGGAGAGCATTGGAGTTGGTCTCACACTCTGCGTGAGTCAAAGGAACAGGCAGAAGAAGGACCAATCCCGCACAAAGCAACAAGGAGAGATCAGCCAGGACGGCTTTGGCAACTGCACTCCATCCCTCGTCGCGCTTCTGATCATCCTCCCTCTGACAGCAGAACGCCGTGATGACGCCAATTGCGAAATCACCCAGCTGCGCTGGCGGCCACATGAAACCGGTAGCATATTGACCCCATGTAAGCTGCTGCCCCTGCTGGATGTACAAAGCATAGAGTGGCCCAAAGGACACCAAGTGCACCAAGACTGTGGTCATCAGAAGTGCACAACGCCCATGCTTAGCATCAACCCGCTCAACAAGCTCCCGCAAGAAGGGATACAGGAGCCAGCTCGGGATCAAAGCTTCAATGGTCCATGATGGAGGTGCCGGGCACCATGTAGAAGGGCGGATCCAATGAGCTACAAACGTAAAGCAACTGAATATAGTCCAAGCGCTCGGCATGAAGCTGCTTCTGTACGCTGGAACGGCCAGGACGACGAGAATGCTTACAACCATGGCCACGTAGGTTGTTACGACAGTGTAGGATAGGCGGCGAATGTAGAAACGTCCAATACTCAGCTGACCGCTTCGCAAACGCTTGCCGTAGGACCACTGTGTGACAAAGCCGCTCATCACTATAAAAACATCTACCGCCGTGAAAGAGCGGCAAGTCGCAGCTTGAAGAATGCCTAAAGTAGATGCCGCGGGCATGTAATGCCCACAGACGATCCACAATGCCAACAGACTGCGAATCCCGGTAAGGTGCTCGAGCACATCCATCTGGTCTATGCCGCGGATGGCACTAGCAGCCACACTCTGCAGCGAGTGCAGCACGTCCCACGTGTCGTAGTTTGCTGATCTACCTTGTTTCGGTGGCTGTAGCTTCTGGTGACTACAGTTGTGGACACTGCTTTGTCAAAACCGCGGTTTGTGGAACGATAGGCAATGCTGCTGTCGATGTGTCCGACAAACTTCAAGTAAAGTCGTGCAAAAAAACGCCTGTTTTGAAGGAGCCCCGAACATGCAAATGCAAACATACCCACACACACACACGCGCGCATAGATACATGATCATATAAACACATAACTACACATACATGCACAATCATGCACATACATACCGATACAAACACATACAGACGCACACATGCACGTACATACACACGCATATGCATACATGTACACGTACACGAACACGTACACGTACACTTAGACATTCACATACACTCTGGACAAGTTGGGTGTATCTCCACATACACTCTCGACAAGTTGGGCGTACTCTTGGTTGGATTTGGCTACTCAAACAAACATTGGATGTTGCTGTCTGCTGGCCTTACTTGAAAGCATGCCCTGTTCAACGTGAAGCAGATTGCGGCAAACTTGCACGTAGGCAAAACTGAACTGTGTGTCTAAGCCAAGGGTCACCTTGCACCTGCGACCTTTTGACATCTGTGAATGTGCTGCAAGCAATGCGGCGACAGTTGGTATTCACAGTCTGCCTTGACCTGTTACCTCACGCACACACACACACATGCACACATGCATACACATACATTGCATTGCTGTACATTATACTACCTTACATTGCATTGCATTGCAGTGCGTTGCATGCATGCATACCGTATACCACATGCACACACAGAGAGACACACACACACACAAATGCACGCAGGCGAAAGATGCCGGGGCCCGCACGATTTCGCTGACCGATGGCCCGAAGTTTCTCTTCCTCAATCTTTTGCGCTTCTCCGTCCAGCACCTGCGGTGTGTGGGCCATTGTGTGTGTGTGTGTGCGTGTGTNNCTGTCTCTCTCTGTCTGTGTGTGTGTCTGTCTGTCTCCGCGGGCACGCCGAGAAAGATCCATAGGAATCATCTTTGCAAACATTTGGCGTGATCATCATGTAGTGATCTGCTAGACAGGACTTCTAAAGCGAGAATCGTCACATGAAGGCTCTAACGAATTGATGTGTAACAGCTCCGCACAGGGTCAAGTAAACACTCATGCAAATCGGAGTTCTACTCGAGTAGACATTCCCAACAACAGTACCAGGTGAATCCAAATCTTGTCCAGAGCTTACGCCCGCGGATTGCCAAACATCAGCTGATGCCAGTCGAACGTGAGAGTGCTGGCGAAAGCACGGAAGGTTGCCTGAATACTCATCGTCTAAGGGAATGGAACTTCTCACAGACGGCAACACTGACAGAGTCCACAAAGCTTGTGCTGCCATGAACCCGAGCAACCTCACTCTGTTGCTGTCAGCAGAAGACCATCTTGTTCCCGAATGCGCAGCAGAAGGGTTCTCGTTTAGAGGTTGGGGGTCTGGGGGTTAGGGAGTTGATGCGAAATCCGTGCGGAGCGTTCGCAAAGCATCCGCAAGCGTCCGCAAAGCGTCCGAAACCCGCCGCTAGCAGGGGATAAGCCATGAAAATGCACCGTTCTGGACGCGGTGCATGCCTACTAGCGGCGAAGTTCACTGCTCGCATTGCCTGCGTCCGAAAGCGTCTGAAACCCGCCGCTAGTAGGGGATTAGCCATGGCAATCGTTATGCTAGTCTTTTGGAGTTTTGATTTCATTTGCTACTGATGTTCGGGTATTCTGCGTCGTCTCGGAAAGTGCAATCGCATTCGGGTTCGTGAGTCATATCAGGTCTGTCCCTGCAACTGGTCCGCATCTTGACTACATTCTCTCAGACTGAAATTTTCGGATGCCACGGGCAGATGAGACCGAAAAAGATCCGCTCAGGATTTGTTACCAGCAGCCTGCCTCCACAAGCATGTCCACTGTGCCGCTGAAGGCCTCAGGGGGTGGAGGGCGCTGAGGGGACGGAAGCCGAGTGAGCCCAGACACGATCAACATGGCGAAAGTGCTAGATCTGGCTCATCGCGAGTTTGAGAGCACTGGTGCCTGGATCTTGTCGGCAAAGCCATGGCATTCGGCCTCCAGTGACCTGGCGGAATAGGACATGCCCGTTGCACGGCGGCTTTTGCTTATTGAGAGAAGCTGCTCAGTCTGCTTGAACTTCTCCTTGGGCATAACCCGGATGCGATTGTCCTGTCGGCCGTCTAGGGGAAGCCCGACCCTGACCACCCGAGGGGATATGCCAGGCTGAGCCCAGACTGATGATATAATCCGTGTGGCCTCATCGAACGTGATGTCGATGTTTTGCTCCGCCATGCTGAGGATGCGACGCTAAGACGTCTCGGGCTTCTAGTGTCTGTACAGCACGTCACTTCAGAGCCCCGTGCAAATGAACAGCGTGCGAAGATTCTGACTTGTAAGCTAGGCAGCGATGCCTCAACATCGAATGTCGATGCTATTTGCATGGCATACTTTCAGCAGCTTTCCCTCTCCACCATCTGCGTCCAGTCTATTGTGGTATATTGCTAACGGCGTCTGGGTCAGGCGCTGCAATCGCAAAGGAGGTGGCATCGCTCACCCCGTCGTGCGACAACGAGCACAGGCCACAGAGTCACATTCACACTGCGTCCACCGGCAGGGTGCCGGTGCTTGCTGAAACAAGCTTTGCTGCAGGCGTTGATGTTCCTGCACTATTTGCACAGAGAAGTCGCGCACTTTGCAAGTTCCGACCTTTGCTTCAAGGATCACCGGCTCACGTTGGAATCGTCTACTAAATTCGACTGCGAGGTACATGTCGCCATTTGCAGGGCCTTCTGAGAGCACTTTGAGGCGGGGTTTTCGGAGTCTATTCTGTGAGATTATGTGAGCAAGGGAACGAACTTGAGCTGCAGTGCCGCCTGTGAAGGTCACTTAAGCGTTCAGCGCCAGTGATACGCCCACTGCACTGGGCTGCGCTGATTTAATTACGGCCCGTTGGGCTTAACAGCTCCAAAACGACCTGCAGTGTCAAAGTTGCTTGGTCCACACTACACCATTGTTCCAGGTGATCTTGTCCCCATCCATCTTGCCCTTGAAGCCTTGGTGACAAGACTAGGATGAAACGAGTATCTCGCCTCCGTCTGGCCTACTCTTCAATTACGAGTACCACCGTGAGACCGCAGCGGATGACCCGCTCCCCATATTGCGACTCGAGGCACCAAAGTAGTCCAGGCCGTCTCCGCTGCAGAACTTCGAGGTCTCCAGAGTCTGCTTGCCCACTGTAGGGTGGCTGATGACCTCGGAATGTTGATTTGCCTTCGATCGATTCCCCACGGCAACGACGACTCTGAGGGAACAGGAACACAATCCGCATCTGGCAAGGGCGGCAGCGGCGCGGCACCGACTGTGTTGCTGACAGCAGTGAACTCCAAAGGCACAGCGTGTGCCGAACTCACTCAAGGAATCAACGACATGTTGACTGCTATCTTCAGACAGGCTGCCACAGACTGTCCGGTGCCTGCACAGGCCAACTGAAGAGAGCGGTGTACAAACGGCCAAGACGCGTGAGGTCTCCACGATGTTCAGTGGAAGACGAGCGGCCAGCGCTGTCACGGGTTCTGATGTGTCCATTTGTTATGGTAAGAATGCCCTGAGTCCTGTTGACATCTGCTGACCACCATATAAACAATGTTGCGGCTAATTGCAACATGCTTGTTGTTGCTTGTATGTCTACGGAAGGGCAGCCGTCCACCGAGATCCGGGCCATCCACTTTGATTTCAATGTCGCCCCCAGAGCTGTGCTGCCAACGGCCCTGCGTCTGGTAGGGCGAAACCATGCTGCCTCCACCAGGCAACAGCAAGTCAACATCTACATCACGCAGCCTAGATTTGACTAAGCGGATCTTGATACAGACACACCACTTGACTTCGTGGCTGCCTGCAGCAGATGCGGTGACCAATACACGGAAGCCAGGCTCGTTGTGTCTCTCTGGCTGTCTGCAGCTTGGAGCCGACATGAACGCAGTGCTGGAAGTCGCTGCGAATCTTGGCCACATGCCTCCCTGCAGCAAGGCGCGCTTTGAGAAATCCTTAAAAGATTGCAGGCTGTCTCATTTTCTCCTGCTGGTGACACGATGTGATGGCAGGAACATCTCATTGACAGGTAGTGCAGGAGCCACGTCAGTCCCTTCAGTTCCTGCAGCAATCGGGAAGCAAAGTAGTGGCCTTCATAGAAATGTGCACGGACACATCCGTGTGTTGAATCCGCAGCAACTGACCCCACAGGGACTGTGTGGCTCATCTCTCCGCCCAAGCACTGCCCGCAGTGCCACATCACCACGGCAAGGTGTGACTTACAAGACTTCTCAACGCGCCTATGGCTGCTCACATTGGCACCTGCACTCCAAGCTTCCTTCATCCAGTCTTGAAAAGCTCAGAGCACTACTCGCGAGTGTGTCTTGTCTCATAGTCGATGTCATACAGACTTGTAGGCTTAGGGTCCGGATTCAGCACGCACGCAACTTGACGCAACCCCCTCCCTCAAAGGTGCAGCCTGGGGCAACCATCTCAAGACGTTCAAATGCTCTCGTAACCGGTCGTACCGAAGCGTATTGCATATTCTGGATGCTCTGCAAACCTCCACTAATACCCTTGGTGCATCACGGTGCCCAAATCTAGGTGCTCGGTGCACCTAACTGAACCGTTCAGTGTTCAAGCTGGGTCTGTGCCAGTCGGCCGTTGCTGCTGAACGTAGGAACGTCCCTTGCACAGCAGAAGAACAGCCAATCGATGCCTGTGATCCTCTGTCTTTCGAGACTTTTAGACGAGTCCGCCCAGCAGCACTGCTCGGTTCGACACGTACTGAAGTTGCTCCAGGCCACACATCTAGATGTTGGCACCACCTAATGCACTGAAAAGCTATAGTAGCGGTTGCGGGCTCAGGTCTGCAGCTTGCTCCGGGTTTCTGTTCTGTCGGTGTGGCCCAGATTACAAAACGGACGAGCTTATGCACACCTGCCAGACTTCTCGCTTCTCCCGTCTCGTTGACAGCCGCCCTGCCTGGAACTCTTTGCAGGCATATGGTCATAAGCAGCCTAACTGCCTAACACCATCAAATTGAAGCAGAGAAGGCAGCTGATCTTATAGAGACGGCTCTTTGTGCAGGTTCCAGTCTTGCCAACTGTTGGCACCCGCACAGCCTCGACTCATGACTGCATTTGGCGACCCATGCACCAAGGCCTGTCAGCCTCAATTTCAACTCGACAGGCCGCTGCCTCTGCCGACAAGAGAAATCTCGTCCGAGAGACGTCGCCCCTCGAGCGTGAACCACGTGCCCAAGTCTCTTTCCGAGCTAACCTCTGCGTTTCGGACATGGCATCGCCACCAAGCTGAGCGGACACATTGCGCAAAGCTCGTCAATTCCTGCCTTCTCTAGTTCAAGGCAACATTGGTGCGAAAGGAACATGCTCCTCTATCAGCAGGTAAGAACCACATAGTGGCAGAAGTTTGGAATCAGACGACGAGCTCGGCTAGAATCTGAAGTTCCGCGACTTTGTCAGAGATATTGACAGAGCAGAAAAGAATTAAGCAAAAAACCAGGGAAAAAACACGACTCGCAAGTCAAGTTCAGGAGACTTCTGGTCGAATTCAGAAAGAACCTCACACTTACCTTAGAGACTCCAAGATCTTGTGAGCTCGTGTTGAGTGATCCTGAACTCGGTGTTCCCGGAAGAACAGCCTTCTTTCTGCCGCGCGCTGCAGGCAGTTGGGTCACTCACCACCTGGCCACCTGGCTCAACGGAGATCACGCTTGTTTCAGGCTCGACGAAGGCCACAGTTGCAGATGAAATGTGCCAATGTGCCACTTGTGGACCCCTTGTGCCTAGACGTCGACCTCGCTGTTCTTGGGAGTCCCATCCTCCTTTGTCAAGGACATTGACGAAGATGGCCGCAGAAGGTAGTTCTCGGAACAGTCGATTTTCGAGGGGAGAGTCTACACTGTCGACCCAACTTGTTGGAAAGGAAGGATCCCTCCAAGTCCAAGGGTGCGAGGCTTTGGAGGGCAGCTTGAGCCCATCTCTATTGGCCTTGCTGCGTGCACTCAGCCCGACTCTACGCAACCACACCCACACCGGTCCATCGAAAACTTCTCGCAACCGCCAAGACATGCCCAACGTTTCGCACCTGGAAAACTGAAGACTTTGCGCCGCAGTTGAAGCAACAGTTCCGGCTAGATGGATGGAAAGCGGGCACTGGAAACGAGCATACATGTTCCAACAAGCAAGGGAAGTCCTTCTTCTCGTCTGCACCGTTGGTCGTGGGCTTGGACGTCACACCGGGCACCTGGGAACGGAAAATGCACGAAGAGGCAGATGTTGTTGTACAGGATGTGAGCAGCACCATGGCATATGGCCAGTGGCACGAAACCGAAATAAGCCAAAAGATCCTTAAAACCGACCTCTGCAAGACTAAGTTTAATGACATTCTTGGTGCTTCTCGAGACTAGGGGCTTGATTGTAAAGTGGACCCTCTGCGAAGTGAAAGCTGCAGGCGATCAAGAACCATCGCACATTTTCGAATGAGGACGCCACGAACTCGGAGGCATCTGCACGGAGGGAGGCAGATCCAGGCCCCTGGCCAGCTCACTGCTTTTGCAAATGCTTTAGCTCTGAAAGTGCCCTTCTTCGATGCAGCACCGCACCGCAAGTATGGAGGGTTAACCTGTTCCCTCGTCAGGATTCTTCTGCAGGCGGCGGCAGGCAAGCAACATCATCCTCATAGGTCCAACCGGTCAACATGAAGTGTGCCTGAGCCGGGGCTGAGGGCAGAGAAACATTGCCGCGAGCGATCGTGAGCTTCAGCAGCTGCTTTTCCTTGCACTCCTGGAAAGGCATAGATCAGCGTAGCTTTTGGATGCTATTGGAGGCATGCTGCGCTCTGGAACACGTGGTTACCAGAGCCCAAGACTGCCCACTCCATGCAGCAGACCTCATCACGCGTGAACGATTTGCAAGCCTCGAACCAAAATCTTCCGAAGCTTGAAACTCTTAATCCTGGAGCCTTCCCACTCAACGTCCTGGAGCATCTTGTTGGGGTCATAGCAGATCTGGTTAACACTGATAATGCGATCCTTGCAAACTTCTGCTTTTTTTGCGGCTGCTGTTGGAGTTGGGGGAGGGACTTTTTCTGGGAGGCTCAACCTGGATTGAATCTGGGTTCCCGAACTCTGGGTTCAACCCAGGTCCACGTTCAACCCAGTTTCAAACCCAGGTTCAACCTGGGTTCCAGAACTCTGGGTTCAACCAAAGGCCAAAGTCCCAAAGAATCGCGTGCCGGGAAACCGGCTGCTTGTGTGGGCTTGAGCTCTTCTTCAACGGTTTTTCCAACACACAAGAAGGAGAAGCCACCCGAAATTGCTTTCGGGGGGTCCAAAGCTATGAAAAAGACAAATAAACAAAATAAAATCAAAGAAAAACGTGCTTTCCAACCTGTTGATGGGAATCCCTTGTGCCGGCCGAGGAACTCCTTGAAACACGGCTTTCTCCGTAAAAGTGCTTCCTGCAAGCAAAACTTCTGCAGGCGAGCAAAGTAGCAGGGAGAGCATCCTTGCGACTTGACTTTGTGAACCATCGAGCAAGCACAAGCTGCCCACGCACATGCTGTCAAGTAGAACCACTGTCATCGCGTTCGGGCCTGGGCCCAGGCACTGGCGATTCCAGGCTTCCACAGCTCCGCCCGGGCGGATGCCCTCCACACACAGCACACGATCCTCGGCACGACGGGAATCCCATCTTTTTGACTCATGACAATGGTGACACGAGCAAGGGTCACGACCCCTCTGAGGCGTCACGAGTACGAGTGGAGAAAAGTCGTGCCCTGTTCAACTGCCTCTGATAAACCTGTAAACGTGCTTCGGCATCTGCGGCCGACTTCCTGAAAGCAGCCACCCCTTTGCTGCTTGGTGCATCCCTTCATCTGCAGGGCCCGGACGTCGTTGGAGTGTGACACATTGAGCCCGAGCTCGGTGCCATCTGCCTGCTCCAGCGTCTGAGATTTCATTTCCCGCATTGACATCACCTGTGCTGACATGCTGCCTTGCGCAACGTGAAGCTAAAGATGCCGTTTCCACCAACCATGCCTGAAAAGAATCTCAGCAGCTTGGTGCCGGAACCAGCAACAAACTCTATTCGTTCGCGACATGCTCCTCCGGCACCTCCGGCCTGCCCCTGCACGCCCATTGACAGTGAAGGGGGATGGCATCTCAATCAAGGACTGCATCAATGACACCGGCGTGCGTTGAGGAGTCGCTTGACCTGGGCAGACAAAGACGCCCCAGAAAGCGGAATCCTCCACCCCTGCAACTCAGGGGCGCCGGCCCAACGACTCCGCCAGAGAGATGGGTGCCGACAGTGGCACCGGAGAGCTGAGAAGTGGGAAAGCCGGCACCTGAGACGGGATTTCACCTAGCACTTGGAGCCATCACAGTCTTCGTCGTGTTTAGTAGTGGCTTCTGGGAAGCACCGCCATCGTAGTCGTAGCTTTGGCAGTAGCGATGATGGTAGTACTGCCTTCCTCCTCCTCCTCGTCGCACTGGCAGCAGCTGGTAGCAGCAGGAGGAGGAGGAGGAGTAGTGTAGTAGCAGTAGTAGTAGTAGTAGTAGTAGTAGTAGTAGAAGGAGGAGTGGCAGTAGCAGTGGCAGTAGCAGTAGCAGCAGCAGCAGCAGCAGCAGCAGCAGCAGCAGCAGTAGTAGTAGTAGTACTAGGAAGTAGTAGTAGTAGTAGTAGTAGTAGTGGTAGTAGTAGTAGTAGTAGTAGTAGTATCAGCAGCAGGAGTAGTAGTAGTAGTAGTAGTAGTAGTGGTGGTAGTGGTGATAGCAACAATCTAGTAGTATT